TCTATATCATTCCATGGTGTATGGAATGTTACAGGTTTTCAGGGAGAAGAGGGCCTCTGCTTTGATGTACACAGACAAATCCGGAGCCAGGACCACAGTCTTGTGACCTCAGGCATAATGTTCCCTCACAATGGTCCTCATGCTCAGCCAGTGATCGCCCTCCATGGGAATCACCAGCACCTTTCCTCCCTCAGCCCAGGGCAGGGCACAGAGCAGGAGCAGCAGCCCTGAGAGTCCTTGCAGAGACACCTGGAGTCCCACGGCCATCTCAAAAGAAGCCTACAGCAGAGGGCCTTCCTTGCCTGTCTCTGCCCCCAACATGAGTTTGTTCATTTTGTATAACCATCAAGCCACACTGCACAGTGGCACGTCATTGGTAGGCACAGTGCCCACCTTCTGTTAGTCACTGTATAATAAACTCAAGTCTGAACTTCACTACTGTCCTAACCTTCTGCCTCGCCCAGAGAAAAGCACATCTTACCATCTCTCCACCAGAAAGACTCCTGTCAGCAGCTGTTGCTCTCTGATGAACCTCAGCGACCACCCTCTCTCTCCTCTGATTTCCACAACAAAGATCTGCGCAACCTTGTCACTGTGTCATTTTCCTCTCTGTCAGTCACACATCAGCAGGATGCCACTGAGCTCTGAGCAGCGCCTGATGCCTGGGCACCCATTGTAACCTCACCACGAATCATGGCCTACTCAGTAGCTCTGTAAAGTCTGCCTTAGCATTCTCAAGAAGCACTCAGTGAGTTAGAAAACACAGATCACTGCTAAGCCAGCCTAGACAAACAGAGGTTGCTTGCTCTCTAGTTTGGCACATTTCATACAGGATAACTGTATGATGGGGACACTGTAGTTGAAGTGTGGGCAGCTGTGTGCTGTGGCAATTCTGGAAGGGTCTTGAATTCATGATTTGAAATTGAATTCCACTGAAAGATCAACTGAGAATTCTTTCAGCTACCCACAGAATAAAGCAGATGCTGTCTCTATCACACTTGAGAAAGACCAGCCTACTCATGGACACACTGTATTGAGCAGCACCCTGCCCCCGTGGACTGCTCTCCTTGGGACTAGAAGCAGAAAGACACTGCTCTGGCCTCTGGCTCAGTTTGACATTCAGGTCTTCTGGATGCTGAGGGTTGTAGACATCTGCACTCTCTTTAGAGATCTGGGCAGGGGACTTGTTTTAGGCTGTCACTAATCTAGAGACCTGTAACTGATCTCTGCCAAAAGTCTTGGCAGCTCCGAGTCCTGATACAGATGCTGTCCATAATATGAACATTATGGGGTACATTCTTATGGGTCAATTTGTTCAATTTTCCACATGCAGAAAGCAAAATTGAGGTCTAGGTGAGAGCATGTTCCTGTTTGTTGGAACCTTGTACATGATCAGGAATCCATCCCTGTCTCAGGGAATTTGCCTCCCATGTGCTAAGCAGTTGCTTACAGTTTTCTAATTTACTTCATGTTTATCTTTAGGTCCTGTCTCATCAGACAGAACCTATTTAGTGGTCTTCACTCAGAAGAAACTCAGCACTAGGCACATGAGCATATGGATGATGCTTCCTTTGTGCCAGCTGCTGCCCTGGGCTTGGGGTCTTACATACCCCTTCACTGTCAGTGAGACTCAGGAATGGGGAAAGGGTCTGTTCTCCCCTCTTCACAAGCCACTGCTCTGCTTCTTCTCTGGCACTTCTCTCTATGGTTATGGGAGGTCCACTCTCTGTCATCTACATGCAGGTGAACTCTGTTATATCTCTTCTATGGACACACACACAAAATGGCCTCTCTAAGTTCCAGTTTCCTTTCCTAGATGATGGTCATAAATGCATGAACATGGATGAAGCAGTTGATGAACTCATATCTAATATCTCAGTGTGTTTGAAGGACCAACGTGTGTGTCTCTCAAGGCTGAAGGTCACAATTTTACAATGTCAACTCCTTAAGGTTTCATATTGATCAGGGACATGCTAGGCTAGTACTTGGCCCTATCTAGGTCCCAAAACTATGACAGATGTTGGCAGTAGGGAAAAGCTTTTCCATGGGACATCATAAAGCTCCCCACTGTCATTAAGAAGGCATAATAACAAAAAGAAGCTTGACAAAATCCAGCTGTCACTTGACATGCAGAATGGAAAAGGGACCTTAAAGCCATTTGAGAAAGTTTATTCTATTCATGCCTCTCATGAAGGGCTTTTTTTTTTTTTGACATGCTTGCTTTGGGAGGTTCTACTATAATGTGTCCTGGTTCCATCGTCACTTATGAAGATGGTTCGAGATCTGAATAGAAAAAAAATAGGGCCACTGAAATGGGCTCAAAAAGCAGCAAGTTCTGTTCACATTGCAGACTAGGACAGTATGAGAATGGGCTTGGATGTTGTCTAGTGGATCCTAAGTCCAAAGTGTATCAGTGAGTCACATGCAACACACAGAAAGAACAGGAACTGAGCGATGTCTTGAAGAAGCAACAGAATCTGTGGACCCCTCAGCTGGAGGACAGTCAGGGAGGCACCTTGCCAGCCATGCGCTACATAAACACCAGAATAAAACTTTGAAAACGTGTCTTCATTTATTCCCTGGACATGAACTCCCACAGTGAGGAAGTCACTAAACTGAATGCTAGAGGATTATTTTGCCTCAGTGGAATTTGGGGATGTCAGGAGTGTGGGCATGGGAAGAAGCAGACCCAACCCTGTGGTTGAAATTGTCACTCTGGTTGGGGCTGAGTGAGTGTGTCTGCATCCACGCAGAGAGCCAAAGATGGTAAAGGACCCCATGGGAGACAAAGAGCATGGCAACCAAGGTCACCTGGAGATGGTGGGCCTTCAGCAGCCACCGCCACATCTAACACTTGAGAGGAACCCATGGGACCCTTTTGGTGGAGGAGTGACCACTATTTAAATCATCAACCGTCCCTCTCACCTGCTTCTCCTTCTGTGTTCAACCCTGCACAGTCATCCTCTTTACCTTGGGAAATGATTCACTGGACTCTGCTCAGCTTTCCAGGAATTTCTAATTCTACTTTGTTAACAGGCTTTGTCAATACATGCAGATTATGTCTCCATCTCCCCCATATCCGTTTACCTTGACCTAGCTATCTATATCTCTATTTTTCCGAAGATCAAAGACAGCTCCCAATCATTGTATCTTTCATTTTCAAGGTCTGGTGTGACTATCTACTGGCAAGCTCTCGATGTCAACGGAACATCATACAATGCTAGGCTATTTATTCTCTGCCTTTATCCCCCCAAAATTAAGCTTGGTCAAGATGGAAGTCTTTAAAGTGGCCTCCTCTTTTTGTCTAGGTGGTGGGCTATTCCATATAGAAAATGTGAATATTTACAAAAAGCCTAAGATGATATGTCATTTGAAGTGTTCAATGCTATGTCATTTGAGAAATTCATTGCCTTGGAATCTATTAAAGCCAAATTACTTATTGAGCATGATTGCAGTTGTGATCATATTAAAGAAAACCAAAAGAATCTATGAAATTCACTTTGAAAACCAATTTGGAAAACTGACCATGAAGAATACAAATTTAATGGCTAAAACCTGCTCTTCCCAAGAACACAAGGCAAAACAGACTCAATACAGGCAAAGAGGAGATGACAGAGACCAAAGACCAGAGATCCAGGAAGGGCAGGGGTTCCTTAGAAAAACGTCAGCACAAACCGCTCAGTGCCTTAGCAGAAGATACTCGTAGTTTTGTGGAAGATCTGGTTTGACTTCAAGAAGACTGAACATGCTATATTCAAAGCAAGGGCCTCCCACAGAGCCATGCCCCTAATTCTGCAGAACTCAGAACCATGTTCTATCCATTGGAAGATTAATGCTGCCGATACCTCTCCAGGTGGTTGGGAGATGGCTCCCTTCCACATGGATAACCCAATGTCAGCAAAGAGAAACGTGAGAGTCAGAGATTTGACCATAATACACCACACCTCCCTAGAAGTCACCAAATTCCACAATTAAAAAGAAAAAAGAAAATGATGAAAAAAGAAAATGATTACTGTAAAACCCCAAGATTACATAAATTAAGAGAAAGAAAGTCAGATACATATTAACAGATATCACCAGGTTGAAGGCTTTTTTTTTAAAATGGCATTTTCAATAAAATTCTAACAAAATATTTCACTAGAGGCAAAGGGTTGAGTAATATAGTAACAAAAGATAGTATTAGATCAGATAGGTAAGTAAAAAGTATGTCACTCAGTGATAAGATAAAGCGATATGATCAAAATATTGTTCATCTCTGTCCATCAACCTAACTGCCATGTGTTCGGGGCAGAACAATTAATATGCAAACATAACTTGTGGAAATCCCAGTACGAGACGTTTACTTGGGAACTGGGCAGATTCAGAGGCAAGTTTTGATACACAAAAAATGAAAATGTGCAACTTGAATCTATGAGCTACACGTTCAAACCAATGCTGGAGCACTGATGGTGAGAAAAATGAGCAGAGGGAACCCATCCTCGTCTGCTTCTCTTCTCAGATGCAGGGCAAAGCAGAGCAGACGGTAAGGGTGAAGAGCTGGTCACTGAGCCCGGAGAACAGAAGTCCAGTAGGACCGGTGCGCTTAAGGGCCATCAGGTCAAGCTGACTAGTGCCTTAGCAGAGAATACTCCCAGCTTTGTGTGCGATCCAGGTTCACTTCAGGCTTACTGCCTTCTCTAGGCAAAGGAATAGGCCCACCCTGGAGCCAATATCTGAATCCCAGAAACTACTACTGAGAGTCTGAGAGCAAGCTCAGCTTCTCTGGTCCTCCCCAGATTCTGGAAAGATCATGTTCGGGAGACACCATCATGGCTAGTGGACAAACTCGGTGGACTCCCACCATGGCTCCTTGGTTCTATTAGAGACCCTCACAACTGCCTCCCACTCTTCTCATTAGGCACTCAAATTCTGATACACCGACTGAGGACACCTTAAGGATTTAACTCACCAAAGTTCCTGGAAAGATGAACAGATAGATGAGCAACTCAGAATAAGGATATTTACAAAGCTATATTGGTGGAGCAGGCTTTGGATAGAGGCCTAATACAGACCTGAGAGAGTGGTTTTCTGAGGACACAGTTCATTCCCCCGATGAAGAACATATTGGGCATGATGGGCCTGGGGTAGTCGAACACAAAGTCGAACCTGAAGAGCCATATGGATGCATGGCCTAGAACCTCCATGAGGGACATCTCTCTCTGCAAAAGCTCTGAGGCCAGGCTCTCATAGAAAGCAAAAGAGAAGCGGAAAATGATCTTGAACGGCAGAGGGTAGAGAATGTTCTTGACTCTCTCCAGGAAGCTCATGTGGTCTGAATTCCTTGTGAGTAACCTTGGAACATATGAGAGAGGGCTTGGACACTGGGCAGCCTCAAAGTCAACCTCAGAAGGAATGAAGCGCAGAAGAAACACAGCAGGAATATTCAAATATTTCGCCACAAGTGCCCCACAGAGATTTGCAGGGTCTGTTAACACCACTTCGAAGGAACTGGAGTTCAGATGCTGGACAAGGCCTTTGTTGTACAACAGACTCGTACAAGTTCTCTGGTAGAACGTTGATATGTTTTTCATAAGTTCCATATTGTTTAATACCATCATGACAGAATATTCGGTTTCAAAGAACATTTGAAGGAGGCTTAGCAAGTGATGTGCATATTCCTCCTTGGTGTATGGAACAGCATAGGTCTTCAGGGTGAAGAAATCCTCTGCTTTGATGTATACAGACGCATCTGGAGCCAGGACCACAGTCTCGTGGCCTCGGGCATGGAGCTCCCTCACAATGGTCCTCATGCTCAGCCAGTGGCTGCCCTCCATGGGAATCACCAGCACCTTCCCACCCTCAGCCCAGGGCAGGGCACAGAGCAGGAGCAGCAGCCCTGAGAGTCCTTGAAGAGACACCTGGAGTCCCATGGCCATCTCCAGAGAAGCCCACAGAGGTTAACCTTCCTTACCCGTCTGTGCCCCAAACATGAGTTTGTTCATTTTATATAACCATCAAGTCACCTTGCACAATGGCATGTCATTGGTAGGGACAATGCCCACCTGCAGTTAATCATTGCATGAAAAATCCATGGCGGACTTTCACTACAGTCCTAACGTTGTGCCTCTACACAAGGAGAAGCCACTCTTAACATCTACCAGAAAAACTCCTTACACTTATGGCTGTTCTTGAACCATTAAGCATTATTTACCTCTTCCCCTGCCCCCAATTTTCAAAACAATGCTGTGTGCACTCATTTCATCATTTCCTTCTCTTTCAGCCATTGGTGTATCTCTGATGGCTGGATACCCAACATGGCTTCTCCTCTGGACACAACCAGCTGAGTAATTCCTTAAAGTCTCTCTTTCCATTCTCAAGTAGCAGTCATTATGTCATAGAACACAGACCGCCGCTAAGCTTGCTTGGAAAGAAAGAGAATTTTTGAACTCACTAGTTCATGCATTTATTAGCATGTGATGATAATTATCAGGAACACTGAATTTGAGGTGGTTGGCAGATACCAAATATTGGAATGCTTGAAGGATTTTGAACTCATGAGTTGATTATTTGAATCTACTCAATGCTTTGTGGAAAGTTTGGTATCTACTCCATGCTATCAAGTCAATGCTATCTGAAGCATACCTAGGCAAGACCAATCTACGAAAAAACAGCATCCTGCTCCTTCACGGGAGCTGTTACCTTGGTCTACTCACCAAATGGAGCCTACATCTGGCCTGGGATCTCGGCTCGTCTGAAGTTCCGTTCCCCTTTGTGATGAGGGCTACAGCCATAAGCCCCCTGTTTAGGGGACTGGGTGGACACTAATCTGGGCCTTCATTACCTCCTAGAGTTTGTGATCAGACTCCTTTTCATGATCAATGGCAGCTCTGTGTTCTGATATGGATGTTTTCTGTGATAACAACATGGGGTGCATTCTTGTGGAGCCTGTGTTCTAACTTTAAGACTGAGTTGAGCAGGTCAGCAGATCACATATAACCAGGAGTCTGGTCCCCACCCAAAGTATTTCTTGTATAGGTGTTCAGCAGTTGCTGCCTTGTCTTGGTTCTACTTGGCTTGAGGTTCTGCTGTTCATGGAGTATGTCCCAGGGCTGGCTAGCATTCTACTTCAAGGTACCTAAGACCTTCTGCAAAGTCTGGTCAGCTATAGTTGTACAGAGAGAATTTCCATGTGAAGAGAAGCCACTGACTTGGAGACTTACTCTGATAATAACAGATCTACTACTGGGCAGATGTGTGTTTGCAAAATGCTCCCTGTAGGCCACCAGGTGTCACTGTGCAGCAATCCTTTGTGGCTCTCCAGGAGGCTAAGAGTCCAGAATCCCACTTCCTTTCCAAAAGCAACTTCTCTGTTCTGTTTCCCTGGCTCTTTCTCCTGTCCTCAGATTTCTCTGTATGTTTTACCCTATACTCGGTTTCTGGTCTTCTACGTCTACATCAAATTCTATCATTTCCCTTCTCCCAACAAACATGCAAAATGACCTGGGTCTAGGTTGAGACCCCTCCTGTTTGTTGAGGTGGTCAAAGGAACTCTAGAGAGGATGCAGATGGTGACTGATAAGTTTTTGGTCTCTGCTTGAGCTGCTGCTGCCATTGTTTGCAAGAAAGCCACCCCCTCCACATCCAGTGGGAGAGGCAGCCAGTTCCTGGAGGTAGGACCCCCAAAGGCAACTGAATGAACCAAGGAGAGGTCAAAGGAGCTATCAGAAGCATTTGGTGATGTTCTTTCCATGAGCGGGATACTCTGAACTATGACTTAAGGCAAAGTGACTCACAAAGTCTGTATTATACATTCAGACATTTGAAGAAGCAGAAAAAGAGAGGAGAGAGAGACTCAGAGGGAAGGAAGCCCTGCAAAACTCTCTAGATGGAGTGGAGTAATGATTTTTGAAAGGACCCTTGCTGGGTGGGCAGGTTGGCCACCATAGACCCTCCATGAAACATACACTCTGGAACCCAGAGCAAGAGTTGTGAATAAGAATTCCTGGGAGTGGGGAAAGCTGTGTCTCACAGGATAGCTGATGGATTAGCACTTCAATGGCATGAAGAGAGGGGGATTTTATAAGCTCAAAGCCCACTTGCAATTTATCTTAGACAATCATCATCCTCTAAGTAGCCATTGTTTGCCTCGCTCTGTGCCAAACCACAGCACCCTGTGACCATTGAACCTAACATCCTAACAAAGAGATAAATCAATCTTTTGGAATATTTTAATAAAGCTTTAGTTTCACACCAACCCAAAGGCTAAGAGTATTGTCTGATAGCGTTTAAAGCCCACAGTAGAGTTCTCCCAATCTTTCCATAACCTGCCTGCCTGATGTGCCCAACAATATGTTTGAAAAGTGTCTTGACTTGTGGCTTTTTGTTTTGTTTTATTTCCTTTAAAAAATTTAATGAAATTTCTACCTCATTAGAACATGGTATTTGAAGAGACCCAAATCTACATCCTCAGGCTTGCATGTTTGACTCTAGAATAAACCACATCTTTTATTCCATGGAGGTGAGGACTGTTTCTTTCACCGACCGTATCATAGGACTATATACACTGAAACTTAGCCCACAAAATACCTCAAGATATCAGGAACTAAATTTGGAATCAAAACCATGCAGTACTCAGCAAGGCTGAAAACTGATCAGGGCCAGAATCTACAGTGGAACTCAGACACAGATTCCAAAGGAATGCTGGACACCAGTCAGCACTGTCCAGGGGCAGGGCCAGCATCTTTAATCCCACACGACCTCTCACTCACAGAGTCGGCACCTGTGGCCCAACCTTACAAAGGACTGCCTAGAGGTGTGACCTGTTGACATATTTAAATGGACCAGTGAAAGACCACCTAGAAACTCAGATGGCATCTGCTACCTGGCCTGTCAAAGACTGCCCACGGGTGTGACCTGGGTCTGTGAGCCTAGAAAGGGATGTCCAGAAGGTAAGAGGCCAAGTCAGACTCTGTATCTACTTCCTATTTCTTCCCTTTACGTTTATTCCCCCCTTACTTAGCACCTAAGGTCCATCTACGATCCCATTTCCTACTCTGTTTGTTCGCATTGCTTTTTACATCCTTCTTCTTTTCTTCTGTTCTAGTCTTTTCAATTTTCCCATGAAAGGCTCTCCAAAGAACAAAGGCTGTCTTGGTTTTGAGGACCTCTGCCTCAGTCTTCCCTGAGCTGGGGTTGTTTCAGGGTATCTGACTGTATTTCTTTACCCCTTTGTCTTTTCCTTCTGCGTTAGGTTAGAGCTGCCTCTGACCCACACCCTTCCCCACTGTTCCCCTCCTCTGTTTATTTTCCCTCTGTTTTTCTCCAGCATTCCAATACTAATCACCAGTCTTATTGGACTTTTAAATTTTCCTTTCGCACATTAGATAACTAATATCACATGTGGCACTATTATTGCTGTTCAATTACTTCAAGTATTGCAGTTGAAGGATAAATTGCTTTTTAATCGACAGTTGCTATATTTTTGTAGTAGGCCTATTTCTCAGATGTGGATGTAAGAATGTAATGCTAGAGTCCAGCCTGTGCTCAGGCCTCCCCTCACAGACACTGACAGATGTCTGCCCGTGCTCAGGCCTCCCCTCACAGATACTGACAGATGTCCGCCCGTGCTCAGGCCTCCCTCACAGACACTGACAGATGTCCGCCCGTGCTCAGGCCTCCCCTCACAGACACTTACAGATGTACGCCTGTGCTCAGGCCTCCCTCACAGACACTGACAGGTGTCCACGGGTGCTCAGGCCTCCCTCACGGACACTGACAGATGTCCACCTGTGCTCAGGCCTCCCTCACAGACACTGACAGATGTCCACCTGTGCTCAGGCCTCCCTCACGGACACTGACAGATGTCCGCCTGTGCTCAGGCCTCCCTCACGGACACTGACAGATGTCCGCCTATGCTCAGGCCTCCCTCACAGACACTGACAGACGTCCGCTGGGATTTTCTGTGACCCTTGACCTGACACATTTGCTACAGCCACAGTGTCTCACCCAGAGGGTTAGTTAATACCAAGAGGGCCTCTCCATCCGAAACAACAGATTCCCCACCTCTACCCCTGCCTACTACATGGGCTCTGATTCTCTTCAGAGACACCGCCGTGCTGCTTGTCACTGCTACTGGTACCTGGACTCTCTGTAGAGCCCCTGAAATGCTGCTGTTCCTTTATCTGTCAGTACATGGCATTAACAACTCTTCAAATAAACTCCTTAATGCCCAGTGATCAATCCCAGTGTCCTCTTGAACCGCCAGCCCCATCCAAACCTAACAATGGGTGTAGATGATGGCTTTCCGAATTACATTCCAAGACTTCAGGAAATAATCCCGAGAATCGACAAACAGGATTATACAAAACTGAAGCAGTCACCAGAGTGGAAGACAGCTGAGGACATGCAAGAGTCTGCAAACAACACATAGGACAGGGCATGGATATCCAGGTACATAAAGGACTGTACACATTAAACACCAGACGGCCCAAGACAGGGCACACAGCAGTAACAGCAGCTCTGTGAGCCCTCCCCTGGGCACCTGGAGTCAAGGGGCCATCTCCATAGAATCCCAAGGCAGCGGATCTTCCATAGACTGCATCTCCTCCATTAAATTCCTAAATTCATTTTATTACGCCAGCACTGCCCATCAGTAGGGCCTGTCATTGGTTGCCACAATTCCCTTCTAACGTAAATCATTGCAAAATGCTTAACATTGCCTTTTCCACCTAGGAAAGGGCTAGATCACAGCTTAGCCTCTCTGCCTCTGCCACGTTTCAGGAAACCTTACCCTCTGGAAGATCCTGCCTTAACTAGTTGACAGTCTCCATGGAGTCCTACCACCCCTCAGAACCAGGAGAGAGCTTTAATATTGCCTCCCAGTCTTCTCAGTGGCCACTAAAATCCTGAATACCTACTGTGGAAAATTCAAGAATTA